GGTGCTGGTGGCTTTGCTGTGGGTGATTTTGCAAGTCCAAATAACTTCCTGCTCCATAAGCAAGAGGTTTTTTTCTTTTTTTTTAATTCTATCTCATCCTAAAAAGGCACCGCCTGTTGGTTAGGAGAAACTAGGGAATGAACTCATATATACTGCTACACCTATGAGCTATGTAAACCCCGTGGCGCAGGCTTTGCCTGGTGGCTCTGCCATCCCCGGCTCACCGGTCCCCTCCTGGTTGAGGCTGCTCCAGGAACTCTGCAGTCGAAATCGTGCATTTTAACCTTCCCTTTGTATAACTAGCGGTTGCTTCTCCGCGCAAAAAAAAAAAAAAGTGAACTCGAAGAGTGGTTTTGCTCTTCCAGTGCTTTGTTTTCCCCCACAGATTTCCTGCAAACCTGCACACATAATCACTTTAGCCTTTTAATTGACTGTTCTTCCGCTTCTCTACCTGTATGGGGAATACAGGCTTGTGTAATTAGTGAACTGGTCAGCATGGGATCACTAGTACTCAGTATATCTGCTACAGCTACAAGTAGCCCATCCCAAGAGCTCTTGAAATCAATAGGAGAGAGCGGAGCGAAAGGAAGCGTCAATGCCGCGTCCTCTGCTTCAGAGCAGGAAGAACTAAAATGCCTCTAGACCTGCAGCGCTACGTGCTGGTGCCTCTGCGGTTCGGGGCTGGACTTTGGAAATGGATTTCAGTTGGCCCCAGGGTCAAACATCACAGGATTTTGACCACTAGAGCAAAGTATCTTCCTTTTTTTTTTTTTTTAAATACTTTTTAAATACACCTCAGTAGTGCTTGAGATTGCCCTAAGCAGGTACAACCCAGAAAGCAGGGATCGCTAGTAGAGACGAGCAAGGCTCGCTCAAATGCAGCCTGCAACATTGTTCTCTGGAAGAGTGTTTTTGTGTTGCATTTCATATATTTTAGCCTTGGTATTAAAAGGCCTAATTTAGATGTGTCTGTAGATTTGCATAGGCTGTGAATGTTGCCGGAGTTGCAGAAGGCCTTCAGATATTCGCTTCAAGGGCAATGAATAAGCAGAAGCTGATTACTGTCATATTAAATCTGATCACCAGGAAAAACCCATGGGGTTTGTTCTCAGGAATTATTCATTCCTACAAGTTTAAACCCTTTTTTTTTTCTTTTTTTTCTTTTTTTTTTTATTTTTTGGTGCGTGGCAGAACGTTCACAAGGTCCTGAGCACACCCAGTCATTTACCAGATGCGAAAAGGTAGGAGACGGCTTCTGGGAATCTTGAATAGGAACATGAAATGTCCTTTCCTGACCTTTCTCAGGGGAAGGCGATTCACCCATAACTTACCCAGAGTTTCTAAACATACTGGTGCTTTGGAAGCGAAACCATTGGGGAAAGATGATGTGGAGGCTGCTGGTGGATTGGTACATGGGGAGGAGAGGGTTGGCCTCCGTCCAGGTTTTTTTGGGGAGTGAGTAGGTGAAACACTCCTCTGGTTTAAATTGTTAGCAGAGAACCTAAGCAGATTGTTTCAAAGAAGTAGAGTTTTGACCCACCGGCTTTTCCCAAAATATGTCGGATTTTTGGCTTTAGGACCATGTCCTTTTTTATTAGCAGTTAAAGAAACCGGTAACGTGTAAGCGAAGAGCCAGAATGACTCTCAACTGCATGAATGGTTGCAGACATGGAGTTCAGGCTTCTGGACTCCCCTTCAACCTGAACCTGTCTCCTATCACTTGCCGGGAGAGGGGTGGGTGGGGTGGGGAAGTATCACAGCTTTATGTTTGTTTTTAACTGATGAAATCGTTGTAAGGTCGCTGTCCCATTGATAATGATCAGACCCTTTAAAAAAGCCAGTTTTTAAGAACGATTGAAAACAATTTTTAAGTTTCCAAGATGGTTACTTCTCATATAATGGAGGGAAAATATTTCTGAGAAATTCTAAGAAATGCATTGGTATCCGTCTAAAACACAATGATGCAAGTATGTCTAAAAGAGAGTCTCCTGGGCTGCTGAGCTATCGAGATGCAATTTCCCCTGAAGACCCAGAATTTACATAAAATATACTTCATGAGAGGCTGGCCAGGATTTTCAATGACCATTCTATGATAGAAGTATTGATGGCGCTTTCCATATTTATAAGAGTCAACAGTGAAACAGAAGAGGATAAAACAGACGCAGTCTCAGATACATCTCTTCCATCTTCAGATCTTGTTGACCTTTTGCTATCAGAAGCTAAAGAACTGTTAGCGCCAATCTTCTCCAACAAGGACGGTAAGCACTGAATTAACTGGAGAAACCTGAATCCAAACAAGTCTCAAGGGTGTCTGGTAGTGTTATTTACAGTTTCCACCGCCTTACGTATTTTTTTGTCATACCAGTTAAGCCTCCCGTACACGTACCTGATTCTCTCACGCTAACCCAGATGTAATTGCCCTCCGTGAATCCATGTGACTCATCTTTGAATCTGAAATGCAGACTCGCAGCGTAAGGAGTCAAAGGGTGTGATTCGTGCCCAGGGCCAGGGGACAGGCATTTATCCGGGGCGGGGGGAACAACAGGCAGGAGGATGGTTTCACACAGTCGTAGAAACGCTGGTTGAAAGGAACTGCTGGAGATCAGGAGTCGTATCTTCTGCTCCAGGCGGGGCCATCACAACAGGTGAGATCTGCAGTGGGTTTAGCCAGCTCTGCTTTCAGGCTCCGAGGATGGAGATCCACAGCCTCTCTGGATAACGTGTTCCTCGGCTGCATGATGCTCTGTGAAAAAGATTTTCTTTCCCAGCATCTAGTCTGAACTCCCCCAGGTGCAATCTGTGGCCGCTGCCCCCAGTTATATTGTCTGCCACTGCCAAGAACAGTTTGGCTCCGACATCTTTGTAATTGCCCTTGAAGTAGGAGTGGGCGCTGCGAGATTGCCTCTCAGCCTCCTCTTCGCCAGGCTAAACAAGCCCGGCTCCCTCAGCCCTCCCCAGCCTCTCCTTGCAGGTTAGGAGCCCTGGGGCTCCCTTTGCTGGACCCCATCCAGTTTCTCAGTCGCTTTGAACCAGGGATCCAACCCTTCGTTACGCCATCCCGGTATGACTACGGCAATGCTGAGCAGAGGCAAATAGTAATCTTGTTTCCTCAGCATCCAAAGCAGCCTAAACTTCCTTCCGCTCACACGTCTGTGGATGGGAGAAAAATCAGAGAAGAGCCATCTAGCTCCATGGCAGTCTGGATGAACCTTCCCAATCTGGGACTCTGAGCTTAGTCCACGAGCCATAAACATTTGTTGGCAGCAGTTATTTGACTCCGCTTGTCTCTTTCCATGCGAAAGGAGAGTTTCTGATCTCCTCGGTGTCACGATTAGGTGAGCGTACAGCCCCAAACAGGTGCCCAGCCTTTACCCTTTGGTGCTGTTCACCAACTGAACACGGCCACGGTCCAGCACCATCTTTTTCTCGAGGCCTAAGACACATGGGAAATAATTGTAGCCTTTAAGGAGCACCCCTGATATACGAGCGTGTCAGCATTTTCAGAGTTCCTGCATCATTTAAATGTGCATTATCATAATGTAGCAGTGCTACTTGCGTTGGGCATGTTTTCTAACCCTTCACTTATACTTGGCTGTGTGCTTACATTTGCAGCTTTGCCATGTCACAGGGACCAGTGCCTGCCTGCTGAAGGAATCCCAAATTACAAGGAGTAGGTGTCAAAACCGCCACGGTCTGTAATTTCGACAATACGCATATGAAAAATTCCTGTTTGTTTCGTTGGGGTGTCTTAATCAAGATTTTTGCTTGACAACTTTTAACCAGATAATCTAGTAGAGGCCTCCAGATGGCCACATCAGAGAAATATGTCCCTTCCTAGACAGCGAGAGACTTCCTGCCCTGCACAGTGAAGCACGGTGTGAATTCCTGGAGATCTCTTTTGTTTTCTGAAATGTTCTTTTTCCTTCAGGCCAGATGGGAAGTTACAGTTCTATGGCTTGTCTAGCTGGCATTTTTATAGACCCCTGTGAGTTCTGAATAAGGCGAAAAGCATCACTGAATGCGTTAATCTTTTATGTTCTGATATCAAGATGCTGTGAAGTCCCAGTCAAGGAGAGCAGGGCAACATGGCTTGGTTTGGACCTTCAGTATCTTAAGAATTTCTCTAAAACCTCTTAAATGGCTTATATTTAACAAAGCCGTGTCCTAAAGATATCTGCTGAGAGGGCACTTTGAGACCTAAATGTGTACTACCACTGTCTTAGCTGATCACCTTAACTCAACCTGAAGATCTGCCATCGGTTTTTTAGTTGGGTACAAGGTAGATACATGCAAACCGTGACTTCAAGGTTATGAAAAGCATTTTCGGACAAAACAGGTGGCCAGTACAATCCACTGGCCATGCAAGATCTGTGGCCTCCTCTTTTCTTTCCTAAATAACCCGTGTTGTCTTCATGTCACCCCCTGCGTCCTTCTCCCAAACTACATAAAACATCTCTCTCATTTTCAGCCATCTTCATCAGAAGACCACGTGGCCCCCTCCTCCAAGCCAGAGCAAGAGTGATCAACTGCAGCCACCGAGTCCAACCAACGAACTGCCTAAGAAGCCTACATAAATCTCCCACGGCTTGCTCATGCTCCGAATCCGAACTGCGACTGTCCATAACGCAGCTACTGCTGTGCTGGGAGATGGGAAGGACACACCACTGGTGCTCCAGCTTCCAGGCAAACCAGACTGAGAAATGAGCTTTCTAACATGAGACGAATTCTTCCTAACTGCCCAAGACTTTTTCAGCGACCTCCCCTGCGCGTCTACCTCTGAGTTATCGTACACGGCTATTTGCTCACGGTTTTGCAGCTTTATAGGAAAAATATTCTCAAGAGGCTACAAGGGCCTGGATTTCACCGGCAGCCTTTTAGAGCTTGTATTCTGGGTAGTAAGAGGAGCATGAACTCACCTGAGGGACTCAGGGGTCTCCAACAGATTCCTTTTGGTATTCCATATGAAAAACCAAAGTATATTTAGTGACTGTAATTAAAGCAGCTTAATCTGTAGCATCCTAGCTCTCTCAGGATAGGTACTTCTCTCTTTATTCTGTTTTGGGTAGAGCTTATCCCAGCTGCAATGCTTGAAATGGAAGGCACCATCTCAGCTAGTTGGAGAAAGAGTGCAGAGATATCCAGGTGACGACGGATGCGGAACACCAAGCGGTCCCCGGAACACGAGAAAGGACACAGTGAACATATTTCAATAAAGGCCCACCATGCCACTTGGAAATTAGATACGCACGAAGCAAGATTGTACGCGGTTAGCCACGAATGGGGTAGAGATCCGAGAGGAACACGAGGTGTGGAAAATAAAATGGAAACACTGCTCACGAGGTGTTTGCTTTCTGGGTGACGATGGCGGTTGCCGCGCTCAACATCTCTCAGATAAATACCCTGCCCGGCTCCATTTTCTCCTCCCTCTTATTTTGGCAGCTGGTAGCAGGATGCACTGAGAAGCTGCAGGAAAATGGGGGGTGTTCTGGCTTTTACACAGAATTGTTACGATTACTTCAAATCTCCTTTGTGGGGGGGTTCAAAGCATATGGATCCTTTATAGCCTAAAATAAAGCTTAGGAAAAATCAGGATCATCACCAGTGTGTACTATACTTGAAGGTATCACTCCACTGCTAAAACAGTGCGTGGTGAGACTTCGCATAAATAACCAGTCTGAAATTTTGGTTAAACTTCATTTCATAGCTCAGGGCAAATTAAATCTTTGAATGCATGCCTCGGCATAGAAATTAAAGGGCTTCCTTTAAAAGGAAACACAATTCTTTGGGCCACTCACAAGGAATACCCTCAGGAAGAAGATACTTGCAAAAAATATTACTATTGGGATACTCTACTGTTAACAGCTTGTTCCCCAGTGCTCTCTGCTTCGAAGGAATGATAGTAAATACTGGTGTTCCTTGTGGGTTTAGCATTATGGCTTCGTCCTCATCTTGTGGATTATACAGACAGCGCAAAGCTGCAAGAACACCACTAAGAGGTGCACACAGCGAAATCCAGTCTCACCAGTTTGGTCTACCCTGTCTCTGGAAAAACACCTCCAGTTCCCCCGGGGTTAGCATGGCAGATACCAATCCGCTCCGAGCAGTGTGGCTTCAAAAGCATTTGGCCAGAGGTTGCAGCCTGGGGAGATGTCTCCAGCCACTGCTCACCACGCTTGCCAGGGAACGTACAAACAAGATTTTGGGAAGTAGCAGGTCTTCAGCTGTACTGTGTCATTACGCACCACCCAACGGCACCTGAGAAACCTTGTAGAAAAGGGAGGAGTCCCGGGGAAAACAGAACCATTTAGGCCAAACTTTAAACTTGTGGAAGGCAACAGGAGTTTTGCTACCAGCGCTGAGAATAATGGAATTTTCTCCAAATAGAATCATAGAATGGTTTGGGATGGAAGGGACCTTAAAGATCATCCAGTCCCACCCCTTGCCCTGGGCAGAGACATCTCCCACCAGCCCAGGTTGCTCCAAGCCCCGTCCAACCTGGCCTTGAACACCTCCAGGGATGGGGCAGCCACAGCTTCTCGGGGCAACCTGCCCCAGGGGCTCACCACCCGCACAGCCAAGAAGTTCTTCCTCATATCTCATCTAAATCTCCCCTCTTCCAGTTTGAAGCCATTCCCCCTCATCCTATCCCTACATGCCCTTGGAAAAAGTCCCTCCCCAGCTCTGCTGGAGCCCCTTTAGGCACTGGAAGGGCCTCTGAGGTCTCCCCTTTTTCACCTTCTCTTCTCCAGGCTGAACCCCCCCAACTCTCCCAGCCTGTCCACCCAGCAGAGGGGCTCCAGCACTCGCAGCATCTCCGGGGCCACCTTTGGCCCCGCTCCAACAGGTCCACGTCTTTCCTATGTTGGGGACTCCAGAGCTGGATGCAGTACTTCAGGTAGGGTCTCACGAGAGTGGAGTAGAGGGGCAGAATCCCCCCCTCGCCCTGCTGGCCACACTTCTTCTGATGCAGCCCAGGATACAGTTGTCCTTCTGGGCTGCGAATGCCCATTGCCGGCTCGTGTTGAGATTCTCGTCAATCAGCCCCCCCAGGTCCTTCTCCTCAGGGCTGCTCTCCAGCCATCCTCCCCCCAGCCTGGAGTTGTGCTTGGGATTGCCCCAACCCAGATGTAGGACCTTGCACTTAGCCTTGTTGAACTGCATGAGGTTGGCACGGGCCCACCTCTCCAGCCTGTCCAGGTCCCTCTGGATGGCAAATAGGAGTACTGAGCTCCACCTCCCTGAGCGTGGAAAGGGCACAGCCCAGTCCTGCCCCAGCAGGGATTGGTTATGTGGTCTGAAAGAGAAGATACTTGATGCTGTTTCCATAGTCAAGTGATTTGTATTTTAATGTCCCAAGTAAGATGATTTTGTGTATAGCACAGAGGGTGAGGGCTTGGATGAGAGAAGCCTGACAAAGCACAAGCATCTTGTGGTTGATGCTAACACATGGCAAAGGGTGGGAATGGCGAGAAGCTGACTGGGGCTGCGATATTTTGTGTATCCCGAGCTGTCTGCTAGCAAAAGAGCTGTGAAGACATTAACCTTTTAAAAAGCTCAGCTAGTTCTGTGCTCTCAGCTTCCTGGCAACCTCTTTAGAAAAGAAATCCTCCAGGTTCCTCTGGGCCACTGGAGATCCTTGCATTGAGTGAGGATCAAGCTTTGTCTGCTTTGAAAACCATCATATTTAATTTAACTTGTTTCCATTATTTTCTTTGAGTTTATCGTGTTCCTTTTGCCTTTGTTTCAAGCACAGAAAACTTTCCAATCTCTATTAATTGCGTTGTTACTAAGTGCTACCTTTTCAGAGCCATGCTAAAAGCTAAGATATGATGAGAGTTGTGCTCCTGGAGGTGACGTTGGTTTCAGTGACCCAGAATAACAGACCTGTGTCACGCTTTTACTCCCAGGCAAGTGGAATTCGGCAGAACTCAGCAAGTCACGAGGTGACGTCTCCTCACAGAGCCACCGAGAGGCAA